ACTGAATTTTTATTTCAGCAGCAGCTGATGCACTCTGAGATCTTCACACCTCCTCCACTGCGCTACAGCTATTTGGCCATGCTGTGAGGGTGGAAGCTACCAACAGGTAAGTCCAAGAGTATAAATGTATTTTAATGTAATAAAAATGTAAAGTAGTACCATACATTCATCCCTTCTTCCTAAACCAAATGGAATTGTAGGGATATAATGCACTTGAGATGATTGTAGTCTAGGAAGTTGAAGCTCAGTCTTATAATATTAATGACCTTGAACAAGTCACCTTTTTCACACATGGGATCTTTTACCTAAAAGATCTGTTCTAGTTTAACCACAGTTATTGAAGCTGAGGGGGGGAATTATTTGAAGGATGAACACATGCAAGTTCATCTAATTGTGGCAGTTCCTCCCAAGCTGAAATCCTCTCCGTGCCTTAGAATCCTCTCTGGATGGGAAAGTGGATGTGCTGGTTCTCCAGCATCAGTCCAGCCCCATGCAGTGCTGCACAAAAGCTGCTTTATCATTAATACTTTTTTGATATTTTAGTATTATTCATTCAAAATGGAGGCAAAATCACTGTGTATTTGACTTGCTACATTTGATATTTAACAAAACCTGTAATTCGATCAAATGCAGCAATAGGAATTTTTATTTCCTTTTTATGTAGTATGTGTTACTAATTCTGCTGCTAACTTGTGGCTTTTGTTATTATTTTTAAGCATTGTTTGGCTTGTTGCTGCAAGTCCAAGTGCTATCTTTTAATCTGTATTTTGGCCATGGACAAAGAAAAAACCATCCAAACCTATTCAAATGACACAAGAAAACATAATAAGCTTCATAGTCTGTTGTAGTCTGTCTATATGTGTTTAAAACTGACTCTTTCTGGCAGATATAAGCACTTAAAATAAAAAAAAACAGGAATGGAGGTAGAGCTACTAAGTAAGCTTCCCTAGCAATGGATGAAATACTTTTGCATAGATGTGAATCTCCTCGTGTAATTATTCATCTCTGGGTGACTGTTTGCCAGTGTTGCTGTACATGACTAACAGCTGTTGCTTTCCACCCAGGAGATGGCTGTATTTCAGCAGCTGGTAAAACAATACCTGTGCATGTATTCAGAGGTTGCTTTAAGATTCTTAGTAAGCTTCCCTAGCAATGGATGAAATACTTTTGCATAGATGTGAATCTCCTCGTGTAATTATTCATCTCTGGGTGACTGTTTGCCAGTGTTGCTGTACATGACTAACAGCTGTTGCTTTCCACCCAGGAGATGGCTGTATTTCAGCAGCTGGTAAAACAATACCTGTGCATGTATTCAGAGGTTGCTTTAAGATTCTTTCATGTTAGTGATGTTCTGAGACTTTCCTGGATGATTTTGTCTGAAACATAAGAATGACACTGGAGGTGTCTTCCATTTTAGATAGTTTGAATTCTGCTAAATGTCTGCAGAGGCACAGCCCATATGTTCAGTTCCAGACACCTCAGTTGGCACT